TGATCGTTATGGTAATGGTAGCTTTAGAAATGCACATTTCAATAACAGTAATTTAAATTATGTATTTATATTTTCTTCACAGGCATAATAGCTACCTGCTTAGCTTTCTCCTTCAGGACAATAAGCTGGGATCGGTTGAAACCCATTACAGTCCCAAGGAATCCCACGTTTTTGGTAAAAGTCTCTGAATCCAGGCATTGTAGTTCCTGAACTGACCAAAAGGCATTTGCTTCTGCTAATTTAATAATCTCATCTGAAGAGGGGGCTGTGATTCCTGTGCAGTCTGGGAAGAAATCAAAACACAGATTGAAGAGAAGACTCCTATAGTAATCTCCTTGAAGAAAACTAACAAAAATGCAAAGCAGCAAAGACTTATGCTCTCTTGTTATGATGTTGACGTATCATGTATTAAACTGGAGCCAGGGCAATCTTGTCATTAATTTAAGCATAAAATATTTTTGCAATGAAACAAAAACACGTTTTTAAAAAGTACGTGAGCAATTAATGTTCTTGTTACAAAACTAGTATTTACCTATGTTTGGGTATGTCTACCCCACAGCATTTTTCCGGAATAACGGAAAACAATAATTGTGTCCACACTGACTGTCAAAATAATACAGGGCTTTTTCCGATGGCGGTAAACCCTCATTCTACAAGGAATGACGCTTCTTCCAAAAAAGCTTTTTCAGAAAAAGGCATGTGTGGACACGGAAGAGGGAGTTATTTCGAAAAAAGAGGCCTCCAGGAAATAACACAGATGCCCTGCTGGCCACTCCGTCCACACTCATCACAACTCTATAGTTCCTGTCTCCCAGCAGCTCTTAACGCTGTACACATCCGGGACAGGGCTTGTGGCAGGAAGCTGGCCCTGGGTGCTGCAACTCACTGTGTGACTTCCACTGCCACACATCTGGGCACTATGTCCCAAGCTCAAGCCCCCCAAGAGCCCACTGGCCCACACAGGGAGCATGCACAGGGCTCCCAGGAGCCTGCCAAGGGCAGGAAAAGATGTGTACCATCCTGGTCTGGGGTGCAGATCCTAGCCCTCCTCAAGGTGTGGGGCAAGGAGGAGACTCTCCAGGATCTCCACTCCAGATGGTGCAACACTGATATATATGGCTGGATGGCCAAGACCCTAGCCACAAGGGGCCACCACCGCACTCTGGAGCAGGTGCGGAGCAAGGTAAAAGAGCTCCAGCAGAGCTACGCCCAGGCAAGGGAGTGCAGATCTCGGTCCAGGGGGCCCCTACTCCTGCCTCTACTACAATGAACTGCACCACATCCTGGGGCTGGGGGCGGTGCAGCCCTTTCCCCATCCCTGGTGGTGGACTTCAGGCTGGAGACGTCCGTTGTTGCCCGACCAGGGTCCCAGCCAAAGAGGAAGAGGAAGACACAGCCAGCACCCTGATGACGCTCATGTTGGAGCTGGTTCCCCAGAGCCTGGATGTCTCCCAGGCATAATATGAGGGCAGGGAAGGATCAGAAGGTGAGTGCTCCTAGTTTTTCACACACACAGGGCAGGGGTGGTGGACACTGAGGGGCCGTGGTGCGACCAGGGCTGGATTAAGGGGGGGGGGGGGCAGCCGGGCAGCTGCCTGGGGTGCCTGATGGCAGCTGTACGGGGCATCGCGCACCTTAGTGCTGCAATCAGGCGCTGCGCACCCAGGGCTGGGGTCCGCGCGGTGCCCCTTAGAGCTGCCATCAGGTGCTGTGCACCCAGGGCTGGGGGCTGTGCGGTGCCCCTTGGAGCTGCCATCGGGCACCACACGCCAGATGGCAGCTGTAAGGTGCGCAGCGTGCCCAGGGGTGGAGCCATGCATGTGCCATGTGCCCAGGGGCGGAGCCACGCATGCGTTGCACGCCCACTGCCCGTGGTGCAGGAATGGCTCGAGCCGGTCCTGGGGGCGACTGTTGCTCAGTCTTCTTGGCCTGGCCCTCATGCTTCAGTCTATGCACATGGATGCACATGCAGCGCCAGTCTGTGTCACGCAGCCCCAGGAGGCAGCCCTGGAGCACCCCCGGGGCTCCTGCTCACAGCCTCTGGGGAGGTGAGACACATGTCTGACCCTGGGGTGCAGGGGAACACCCTCCCACCACCAGCCACCACTGGAAGGAGGCTGAGGACAAGGGCACAAGCACACCCGCACAGACTCTGGAGTGACACACATGGCACACAGGCATGCTTGAGGCACCACCCGCTCCCGGGGACAGCGCTGCCAGGTGCAGGTGTGCGCGCGGCCCCAATGGAAACCCAGGTTGCTTGAGGCCCTTCTCCCGCCCATGGGATCCCAGCGTGTCCGGACACTTCCCTTGCCTGCTTATTCATGGGACGGGGGGGATGGAGGGAGGGGACAGAAAGCACGGTCTGGGCACCTGTGGGCCTCTGTAAGGCAGGGCCCGCTGTCCAGGCCACACATGGCCTTGCTCCCAGGACATCACCATCCTCTGGCCCAAGGTCTGTTGCTCTCAGCTCACAGAGGAGGGCAAGGCCTCAGGGACAGTGTCTCCATAGACGACTGACCACCTCTCTTTATTCTTCCCTGCTGGACCTGCTGTGAATGTGGGGCAGTCATCACCAGTTGAGCCAGCCGCCCGATCTGCAGGAGCCGGAGGGTCCATGAGGACCTAATGAGGGAGCACATATCTGTCCTCTAGAACATGCAGAAGACGCTGGCCTAGAAGGTCCGGGGTGACGCACAATGGCAGGACCAGATGGGGACCAAGCTGGTGCAGCAGGGCTGCAATATTTGTGCCATCATCCAGGAGATGATGACCTATCCGGCACCAGTCCCAGCCCCAGCTATGCCAGACCCTGCTCCAGTACCCCACCCCACCTACCCCCCTATTCTCCCAGGACCCCACCCCCACAGTCCCCGGACATGAGGTGGAACTACCACCCAAACCACACGCCAGTCTCAGCCCCAGCTCTGGGGCTGGAGTGTTGGGGCTGGTGACCGAGGGGCTGGGGATGGAGTTCTGAGGCAGGTGCAGGGGAATCTTTGCTCCGACTAGCACCCTGTTCCCTCTCCCCAGCCCACAGTCCCCGGACATGAGGTGGAACTACCACCCAAACCACACGCCAGTCTCAGCCCCAGCTCTGAGCCTCTCCTCCCCCCCACAATCCCATTATTTTTACCAAAAAGAAAAACACTTATTTTTTGGAACACCAAACTGTTGTATTTATTGACTGTACAGGGAAGGAGGGAAGGGAGGGGTTGTTCTGGGAAACGCAGAGAGGGGCAAGGCACAGACCCCTAGTGAAACACTGGGAAGAGTTACTGGGGTCCTTCAGAGAAACTCTCCCTCAGGGCCTCCCAGATGCACACCCCAAGTTGATGGGCCTGGTGGATGGCAGCTGTGTGCAGCTGCTTGAAGGCCCGTCCCTCCCAGCTGGCCTCTGTCCCCCACCCCGGAAGGAAGGCCTCCCCCTTACTCTCCACACTGTTGTAGAGAATACAGCATGCAGAGGCTACCTGGGAGATGTCGAGTTCCCCCACAATGAAGCGGGTCAGGAGAAACCCAAACCTCACCTTCAAGCGGTGGAAGGTACATTTCGCCTGGATGGGGGCCCTGCCCAGGCAGGCATTGAAATGGTCCCTGCTTGGGCCCAGGAGGCCTATATATGGCTTCATAAGCTATGGCATGAGAGGGTAGGCTGTTCCCCCTACGATGCACAGTGGCATCTCAATGTCCTCAACAATGATGTGTCACTGGGGAAAGAATCTGGGGGAAGAATGTGCCAGCCTCTAGTTTCTGGTAGAGACTGGAGTTTCTGAATATGTGAGTGTCATGCGCCCTCCCTGACCAGCCAATGAAAACATCTATGAATTGGCCGTGGTGCTCGACCAGGGCATGCAGGACTATCGAGAAATATTCCATGCGGTTGATATACTGGGTGGTACGGTGTTCTGGGACACGGATGGGGATGTGGATTCCATCTATCACCCCCTCCCCCGCAGTTAGGGAAGCCTAGGGTGGCAAATCGGGCCACGATGGGGTCCAGGTCTCCTAGGCAGATGACCATGCACAGCAGGACGGTGTTTATAGCCCTTACCACCTGCAGAAAGAGACAAACAAACACACAAAACAGAGAATCAAAGGGGGGTGCCTGAGCCCTCGGGAGGTCCCCGAGCCCTCTCTCCCTCCACCCCCACAAACACCCCAGGAGCCACCCCCTATAAAGCCCGCCCACCCAGGGCTGTGGGGGGGCAGGACCCCCAACCCTTTCCCTAGGTTCTCCCTTTCCAGTATTTCCACACACACACCCTCCAGGGACTGCAGCCTGAGTGCGCCTTACCTCCATGAGGAGGGCCCCAACGGTGGACCTTCCCATGCCAAACTGATTGCCCACAGACTAGTAACTGTTTGGTGTTGCACTTCTAGACAGCGATGGTGACCTGCTTCTCCAGGGGGATGGCACATAGCATCTGGGTGTCATGTCAACGGAGGGCTGGGGCGAGCCAGGCACACAGCTCCATGAATGTCTCCTTCCTCATGCGAAAATTATAGAGCCACTGCTGGTTGTCCCACCACTCCATCACCAGCCGGAACTGTACCCAGCCTCCAGAACCTTCTCTCCGCCATGGGGTGTAGTTGCAAGGGTGTTGTTCTTGCACACAGGCAGAGGCTCTCAATGATGAGCTCTGAGTCGAGCTCATGCAGGGCCATGAAGACAGCATGCAAAAACTGCTGCAGAAACTTCAGCATGGCAGTGTAGGGCCATCGTGTGTCCAGAGGCAGCTCTGTCTCCATGGCAAAGAGTCCTGTGGTGTGCTGAAGCGGGGCAACCAGAGCACGCACTACAAATGCTTTGCTGTCCCTCGGAGAGGTAGGCAAGCACAAGCTGAGAAATGGCTGTCCAGGGAGGTCCCTTTAAGCATGCATCTCAGATAGCCTTAGGCAACAGCACCCGAAAGCAACTGCTGACCCGATGCCCTGCCTGAACTGGGTGAACTGGCCTTAAATGCGAGATAGCGTCCAATCAGTGTGGATGCTATCTTTCAAAATAGCACATCGCTATTTTGTTGAGCTTTTTGCACGGGAATGGTCTCTTTCAAAATAAGCTTTTTGAAAGATTTCTTCCTGAAAAGCTTATGTCGAAAGAAACTTGCAGTCTAGACTTAGCCTCAGTGTAATTGGTCATTTGTGCTAGCCCTTGAATGCAGCACATGCTGGAAAGGAAAGGAGGTGCACAAAAACTTTTAAAAACAGTTATGTAAAAATACCTACATACAATGGAATTTGCATGCAGCACCTAGCAAAAACATCTAACTATCCTAAGCA